GGGCTGAAATCTGAGTATGAACCAGTGTGGGCTCAGATACTAGGAGGGTCAACTCTCTCTTCCTTAGAAGAGGTGTTTGCTCGACTTAGGAGGAWTTCCATTGGATCTACCAAGAACCCTAATGTTTCTAATAGATCARCCTTTGCAGTATCCAGAGGCCGTGGTGCTAGAGGTAGAGCTCGGGGAGCTCAGCCTAGCCGTGGTGGCGATAGTGGACCGGCATATGGCCTAAGTGGTGGTAGTGGACCTACACATAACCGTGGTGGTGGTCGTACTAAAGGTCGAGATTCAGGGGGAGACCGTGGCAGAGGACGTAGTTCGGGTCCGAGGAGGTGTACACATTGTGGTATGGATGGACATACCATTAATTATTGCTATGACTTGCATGGTCCACCCTCAACTTGGGCCAACCATGCCATGACTAGTGACAGTAGCTTCAGACAGGAGAGTCATTCAGCTGATCAAATACCTTCTACATCCACAGATGTTACTGGGAAGGAGATGATGAGTATTCCCCGTGATGAGTATGAGAGGTTTGTTCAGGCCAAATCTCAGCAGAACACGGCCACTCTCACACACTCAGGTATGGCTTGTCTGGCATCCACACCCAATCCCTGGATTATTGATTCTGGAGCCTCCGATCACATGACTGGAACTCCAGGTGTGTTTTCGTCCCTCTCTCATTGCCCAACATCACAATCTGTTACCCTTGCTAATGGTTCCACATCTTCCATTTGTGGTGTTGGTAATGTTAACATGGACCCTGTATCCTTATCCTCAGTTTTGTATGTCTCTAAATTTCCTTTTAATCTTATGTCAGTTAATAAGTTGACCAAGTCTCTTAATTGCTCCATTACCTTTTACCCCTCTTCGTGTGTTTTTTAGGATCCCAAGATGGGGATGAAGATTGGTGGAGGGCATGAAGCTGATGGATTGTATTATCTTGATGGTGGTGGAAATACGTCAACAGCTCTCCAATCGTCTCTTTCTCCTCTCCAGTGGCTCTATTGATTTGGTCATCCTTCACTGAAAGTTTTAAAGTCTTTGGTTCCTTCATTAAGTCATCTGTCTGTTTTGGATTGTGATTCGTGTTAGTTAGGGAAACATCATCGTGTTCCCTTTAGTCCTAGAGTTGATAACCGTATGTCGAGTCCTTTTTCTTTAGTTCATTCAGATGTTTGGGGTACTTATAAAGTAATGTCATACAATGGATATAAATATTTTGTCATTTTGGTTGATGATTATTCAATGATGACATGACTCTATTAATTATCAAAAAAAAATGGATGACATGGCTTTATTTAATGAAAGAAATGAGTGAACTGTTTACCATTTTCCAAAAATTTTATGCTGAAATTCGCAACCAATTTAGTGTTCACATTAAAATTTTCCGTTCCGATAATGGTCATGAATATCTCTCTTCATCATTTCAAGAATACCTAGACCAACATGATATTATCCATCAGACTTCCTGTACCTACATCCCACAACAAAACAGGGTGGCTAACAAAAAGAATCGTCATCTTTTGGAAACAGTTCGATCCCTCATGAATCACATGAATGTTCCTAAATCTTTTTGGAGTAATGCAGTGCTTACTTCTTGCTTCTTGATTAACCGGATGCCCACGTCTATCCTTGATGGTCATTGTCCATTCACCACATTGTTTCCTACTTTGTCTCTGTTTCCTCTTTCTCCTCGGGTTTTTGGGTGTGTTTGCTTCATTCATAATCTAGGGCCAGGAAAGGACAAGTTAGATGCACAATCTACTAACTGCATCTTCCTTGGCTATTCCCGAACACAGAAAGGGTATAAGTGTTATCATCCTAACTCTCGACGTTCCTTTGTGTGTGCTAATATTACCTTCTTTGAGCCTACTCCATTTTTCTTGGGGTCCGGTGATGTTTCTTCCTCTTCATCACCTTCTCCCCTTCCTCTTCCAGTTGTGGATTTTGTTCCTCTTGTTCCAGTTGTGACCAAGTCCTTGCCTCTGGTGCCACCACCTGTTGAACGACCACCCATCCATCACGTGCATATACATCACCTACATGTACCGGCTCCTCCTCCAGCTCCATCATCGTCGACAGATCCGACAGTTATTTCCACACCAACCCCAACCCCAATATTCGATCTTGATCTTCCATTGCCTTGTGGAAAGGTAAACGCAATTGTACCCTTCATCCTATTTCTAATTATGTTTCACTGACTCACATTTCCGCTTCCCATCGCTAGTTTATCTCTTTGTTATCCTCTGTTGTTATCTCTAAGGATGTCCAGGAAGCCCTTGCCTCTCCTGGATGGTGTCGTGCGATGGAAGAAGAACTCTCAACTCTGGCCCATAATCATACATGGGAACTCACCACTCTTCCTCCTGGTAAGCAGGTTGTTGGTTGTAAGTGGGTTTATACGGTTAAGTACTTACTTGATGGTAGTGTAGAGCGGTTGAAAGCTAGACTGGTTGCCAAAGGGTATTCCCAAACATATGGTATTGATTACACGGAGACTTTCTCCCCGGTTGCTAAGATTGGTTCAGTCCATGTTGTGGTTTCTCTTGCTGCGATGTATGATTGGCTCCTCTATCAGCTTGATATCAAGAATGCCTTCTTGCATGGTGATATGCTCGAGGAGGTCTATATGGAGCAACCACCGGGGTTTGTTGCTCAGGGGGAGGATGGTAAGGTGTGCCGACTACTGAAGGCCATTTATAGGCTTAAACAGTCTCCTCGAGCATGGTTTGACAGATTTTGTGAGGTGGTAAAGAAGTTTGGTATGAAACAGTGCCAAGTTGACCATTCAGTCTTCAGCCATGACTCTCACGCAGGGAAGATCCTATTGATGGTGTATATAGATGATATTGTCATCACCGGAAATGATAAAATGGGCATTGACAAGTTGAAGACTTTTCTGCAGGAACATTTTCAAACAAATGACCTTGGTAAATTGAAGTATTTCTTGGGGATATAAGTAGCAAGGTCTAAGCATGGTATTAACTTGTGTCAGAGGAAATATGTTCTTGATTTGCTTGAAGAAACAGGTTTGTTAGGTGCTAAACCAAYTGAAACACCTATGGAAACAAGCATTAAGCTGAGCAGTGATATGGGTGAAGTGTTTGAAGACCCTGGTAGATATCGGTGGCTGGTAGGTAAACTGAACTACCTAACCATCACTCGGCCAAACATTTCATTCGCAGTTAGTGTGGTGAGTCAGTTCATGCAGAAACCTCTGGTTCCACATTGGGATGTGGTTCTAAGAATTGTGAGGTATTTAAAGGGGGCTCTTGGTCGTGGTTTGATATACAAAAGTGGTGAAAAACTTGAAATAGAAGGATATACTGATGTTGATTGGGTCGGTTCTATATCTAATAGGAGATCTACCATAGGCTATTGCACTTTTCTTGGGGGTAATCTGGTGATATGGAAAAGCAAGAAGCAGACATTTGTGACAAGAAGCAGTGCAGAGGCAGAATATAGAGCTATGGCACATACTACTTGTGAATTAGTGTGGCTAAGGAACCTTCTACAAGAGATGGGATACACTGTTGATAATCCGATGAAACTCTACTGTGACAATTAGGTTGCAGTTCATATTTCCTCTAATCTGGTGTTTCATGAGAGAACCAAGCACATAGAGGTTGACTGTCACTTTGTTAGAGAGAAGGTGTTGAGTGGAGTGATAGACACTGCATATGTCAAYACAGGGAACCGGTGGGCAGATTTGTTTATTAAATGATTGAGTCGGGGTAGAGTGGACTACATATGTAACAAGCTGGAATTATATGATATATACTCTCCAGCTTGAGGGGGAGTGTTAGTATCGAGTATGTAGGGGTATTTCTATCTTTGTGCTTATGTTTAGGTGTTGATGTGTAAGTTTATGTTAGATCTAATGTCCCTAACTTAAGTAGGGGCACATGTGACTTTTCCACAATATTTTAGTAATTTAAAACAAATCTGGCCGAATTTGAGGGTTGACTTTTCTCTCATTCGAACCAGACCTTTTCCTCCTTGTCTTCTCTTCTACTCTTCTCTTTTCTCTCTTTCTCTCTTTCTCTCTTTCTCTCTTTCTCTCTTTCTCTCTTCTCGCTTTTCCTTGACTGTTATCAGTCTAACAGGCAGGCCGAACTCTAATAGTTTTCTTGTAAATCCCTTCTAGAATCGTTGATTGCCACTCCCTCTTCTCATCATTTCCCTGTCAAAGAAATTTGGTGCCCTCCCACTCTCCCTAAAACCAGTGCTTTTTGTTGGGAAGTATTTTATGGTTGTATTAATACCTTTGATGTACTTCAAAGGAAAAGACCATATTGGTGCTTGTCCCCCAACGTGCGTCCTATGTAAGTTGAGTGGTGAGACTGCTTTCCACCTTCTAATATCTTGTCCTAGAATTGATTTACTTCCCTTTTTGGATGCAGGTGATCTTCTCCTGACAGATTGGAAGGTTTATTCAGCCCTAATGGTATTAGTGGCATGAAGAGGAGGGGTAGGATTCTATGGAGGTGTAGTCAGGTGACTTTGGAAGACAACCACTAACAGGGAGACTTCTGTTAACATTCCACCATTCTGTTAACATTCAAATGCCAGGAAAAACTAAATGAAATGACACTATTTCAGGTGACTGGAAAACCTACCTATCTAATACTCTTAATTTTTTCTTCGCATAACTAAGTTCCCTTGTATGTCATTGAGGTTGGGTTTTTACTTTTAGTGTTTCTTAAATTGTCTTCGTTCAGTTCTCCCATGCCCCTATAAAGAGCAACAACTGCTTAGCAGTGGATGGACAAAGGTTTAAACATTTTCTCATACTAACATCCCCTATCCTACTAAAATAACAAGAACAGATGATAAACCATAAAAGATAAAAAGAGAGCATACCAAAAAGGTCGGAATTGAATAACTTTAACCAAACAACTCGCCCATAAAACGAGAATAGAAATTTCAACCAGAGAAAGAAAAGGAAAGGGAATTTTGAGCTGCAGGTTTGGGGGCACCGAAAAGTCATGCACTACCTGATGGAAGTCACCGGAGCCGGAACCAGCGGAGCTACCGGAGGTGTTGCTGACACGAACGGGTACGTGATCGATGATCCTGCGAAGCTTAACCTCCAAGTCTTCTTCTTCATCTTTTGGGACAGGCTTAGTGTACTCGACAATRGCGTTCGACCCCGAGGCCGGTGGGAGTGGAGGAAGAGCAGCTTTTGGTTTCTCAGGCACCGCAACAACCTGCAACTCCCCCTCCATTACTCCTTTTGATCCAACAGATGACATTTTCCGAGAGAACCCTAATTCTTGACTGAACTCAGGTCAGGCTCTCTCCTAGGGTAGATAGGTCATCTCATCACTCAATCACCCCCCCTTTTCATTCGCCGGCGGCTAGATGACATATTCATAAAGAACCCTAATTCTCGAATGGATGTTTCACACCCTACACGACCTCAGCTCTGTCTTCCTCTCTCACTCGGCATCGGTAGCCAGACTAGCCAATTCAGTTAAACTAGAAGTCTATAACTAGCGGAGGAAAGCAGAGGGAACGAAATGCGAACTATGATTGATCCAGCATCAATCCACTGGCCGATTGTAGTCGAGACATGTAGGGGTGTGAAAATCGAAAAATCGAACCGAACCGATAAAGTCGAATAGAAAATACGGTTAATCGAACCGATCGATTCGATTTCGGTTCGGTATTTTTGAAAAACGAAAGGACTAGTTCCGTTTTCAGTTAATCTACAAAGAAAATGAGTGGTTAACCGATCCGACATATATTTTTAATATATATAATATATTTTCTATATATTATTATATTTATTGTATATATAAATATATATATATATATTATATATCATTTATTATTTATAATATAATATTATATATATTTATATAATATATATTATAAATATAAAAAAATGAATAGTTGAACCMGCCAAAAACCGAAATTGACAAATCGGTTAACCGGTGGTACCGGTTCAGTTTACAAAAACTGTCCATGGCTTGGTTAACCAAACCGTGGACACCTATTGAAGGGTGTCAATTAGACTGGATTTGGTCCAATCTGATCCATTCCAATGTGAATCTATTACAAATGGACCAGGTCCAATCCAATCCAATAAAATATTTTGGACCATTTTAGACCGATCCAATTCAATGTTCAGACCATCCATCTGTTCAAATTAATTTTAATTTAGATTAGTTTCAACCCAAACCTCGTCCATTGACACCTATATTCTTATCTTATATCAATRAACCAAATATTGTCTTAATCCAACCAAATCCAATATAAATTTATTACAGATGAACCCAAGTCCAATCCAATCTAATAAATATTTTGGATTGGATTAGTCCAATCCAATATGTCTTGTTGATCCATCCAATCCATCCAAATTGATTTTGGACTGGACGGGTTCAATCCAAAACCGGGTCCATTGACTCCATCGCCGCCTTCACCAAAGCTTGGTGGGGATGGGGGATATCTAATATATACATATACATATAAATGAAGGTTTTCAGGCCAAAACCCCCTCCCAATCAGACACGTGGCATCCCGTTTTTATAGGAAATAGAATTTCAATTCAACTGCCCACTTTCCCATTTTTATAGGAAATGGAATTCAAATTCAACTATACACATTTTGTGGAAATAGTAATTCAATTCATTCGTGGGTAAGCACACGTTGCTTACTTTTAGGAAAACAAAAAAGTAAGCACACGTTGCTTTCTTTGTAAATCAATAATTACCTTAATTCAATTAACTTAACTGAATTAATTAATTCATTTACGCAAGTAACAAATTGATAAGAGAAATACAAAATTGTTCAATTATTAATAAGCATTATTAAATAATTCAAAACATTTATTATGTGAACAAAACATTATTAAATAATTAATAAATTGAGAAAAGTACTATAATATGATTAAACAAATATAATTGATTATTCACTATAGAATGGATAGTTAAATAATAAAATGATTAAGTAATTTACTAATTAAGAATTAAATTAAGAAGAAAAAATATTGAATAATTTAATTGATTCAAATTGCAATTAAAATTGACTAATTCAATAAGAAAATAACTGAACAATTAATAAAATGTTTAAAAAGTAAAAAAACAATAAAAGGAAAATTATTAAATAATTAAATATGATTAATTAAAAAATGATTAAATAGCAAAGGTCAAATCCAACAATCCATGCATCCGATGTGTAATACATTCTTTAAATGTTAGCAATATTAATTAACAGTATTTAATATAGCAGATTATATTTTAAAACTTTACCTTGTAAATAATATTTAAATTATTTATTATTGGTATCTATTAACACTATTAAGGACCATGTTTGTAATTTTTATTTCCAATGYTTCAAAAATGTTCTAATAATTAACAGTAATTACCAATAATAGTAATTAACGATAATATTTATTGACAAAATTTATCAAAATTATATTGATTAACATTATTTATTATGGTATTCATATATTTTACTTACGAATTTAATACTATTAAAAATAATTTTAGTAGTATTTATTACAAAATTAATTTTTATTTATTTTCGGTATTATTACAGTATTTTCAGTAGATATTTATTTTCAGTATTAATTTTAATTGTATTTATCTATGGTTATTTTTAAATTAGTTTGAGTGATTTACTTATAAATAATTTCTTTAAATGTTAGAAATATTAACAGTAACGGTATTAAATAAGAATTATTAGTATAGATTAACAATATTTATCAAACTTACATTTATTAAAAGGTAAATTTATTAATGGTCTTTATTAAAAATAATAATTTTGAGAATATAACAGTATTAATAGTCTTTATTTTCAGTATATAACAGTATTTATTTACCATTAGTATTTTCATTATTTTTTGTATTTTCAGTATTTTTAGTATATAATGGTATTTTCAATATTTTAATAAATTTATTAGCAGTATTTATTAGGGTATTAATTTAATAATATGGATTTGATCATACACCAACCCATATCCAGTCCATTTTGAAAATTAAGCCATGTCCGATTAGTTGAATGGACTAGATCGAATATTATAACCCAACCCGTACCCTGAAGCATCAATCGTCATCTTTGCCCAAATTACGTCTGCAGGCATGTGACCATACAATACTGCAGCTAGGAAAGAGTTTATTCGGTTCCCCCATTCAGACACGTGGTCATACAATATTACAGCTAGGAGAGAGTTTATTCAGTTAGTAGGTCATGCACCCATATTTCAGCAAACCAAATCTCCTCATTTGAATGTAGTCAGTTGGAAGGCCATGTATCTAAATTGCTGGAAGAGGAGAGGTTATGGGGTTAATAGGCCAAGTTCCAACGCTGTAATTTCCCCTTCAAACACATGGTGTTCCATTTTTGTAGAAAAGTGATTTCAATTTGCAAAGCTAACTTGGATTATAGAAGTTAGGGCCTATTCATTTATTCTGAAATCTAACATCTGAAAGTGTAATAATTATATTAAGAGGTATATYGGTATTGGTGAACTTTTCTTTCCTCTAAACTTTAAATGCAAAGAATATTCTAAATTTTGAATTTTGAATTCTGAAAATTATCAAATATCCATTTTGACCCCATATATGAGAGTTTTCGTTTATCTTTTTGGGGGTATCATTGGAAAACAAAAAGTTGTATGATTGCACTTTAAGAGATAAGAGGAAACAAACAACCATTTTTCTCTTAAAGTTAAAAGACTCCTCTTAAGATATAAGAGTTAAGAGGAAATGAACATGCCCTTAGTGCAATTTAGTATGTGCACGTTCCTTATTTTCAAGAAAAAAAAAACAAATATTACATATCATGCCACTTTGAAAATATTTCTTCCACCAACGCACCCCCCATCCAAACTACGTACATTCTCAGTCAATTTGTAGGGATGAATCACTTGTAAAATTTTTGAGAGCTTACAAGAAGTTCATTCATTGGAGGATATCTTTGGACACTTGGAACTTCAACCAATTACTTTATTTCCGGTTAGTTTATCATTATTGCAAACATGTTTCAATGATGTGTTTCTGCTATTGCATACTTGTTTTAGTTTTGTGTTTGACAATATTTTATGATGGTGAAGTCTACTTGTCTCAGGAACTATTTTTCCGTGCTTCACACACAATAAATCATTGTTAGCCTGAGAAGACATTTTCGCATGAGAAGAAAATAAGGTGTTCTTTAGTTACTACTAGCGACAAAAGGTAGTTTTTTTTACTTTAGATGAGATCTCCGACCACMGGTGATCACTTATGGGTGGCCGCCAATGGCCAGGAGGGTCATAGGAATGTGAAATGGGCTGGTCTTGTTTATTGTTACTACATACAATCACCTTAGAAAATAGTTTCATCTGAGAAGAAAACGGGGTGTTCAATACTTCAATATTTAGTAGCGGTGACCACCAGCTGTTTTTTATTTTTAATTTAGATGAGTTTGCTGACCACCGACGATCACTTATGGGTGGCCGCCGGTGGCCAAGAGGGTCACATGATCCAGTTATAGATGCTTGTGATTATCTAGCGCGAACCGTCAACTAAGAAGGCAAAGGCTCGAGAAGACAACGGGTTGAACCAACATTGCGTGTAGTTCGGCCCATTGCTCACCGCCTGCTGGCCTTGCTTTCCTCAGATGCAAGATCAATAATGGTTTGGATCTTTAACACTGCTTTTGATTGAGCCCAGTACCACTGAAATAAGTTGTAGGTTCCTTTTTTTTTGGTATGAAATAAGTTGTCAACTATAAATTAAGCGTTAAATGACAAATTCAAATTAGATATTCCAAATAAATAGTAAATTTTAAACAAAATTATAATTAGGTGTAGTAGACCTATACTTATTATAGTGTGTAAAACAAAATTTATCAAAATATTATGAATATTAATTAATTGATAATTATTTAATATTCGTATGAATTAATAACAATTAAATGATAATTATATCAATAATGTTAATTATTAATATTATTATTCTCAGCTAATAATTATTAATATATTATTTACATTTATGATTTTATAATCATTATATTCATATTAAAATTTCTCAGTTAAATGACATTTTTTTCTTTCTTAATTGTTCATACAGCGTTAATTACACTTTTACCTTTATTATAAGTTCATTATTATTTATAAAATTATTACTTCTCTATTGAGGAATATGAATACATATAATTGCAATTATCAAATAATTTTAAATTTGAAAATTTAGTATATTCAAAAACTAATGATCAATATATAAATAATTTTAATTATTAACTTCCCCTTACTTACTAGTTAATTACTGATAATAATGAAACTTATTAATTTGGATTGATAATTAATTAAAGATAATCAAAAAAGATTTTAATAATGATTGATGATGGCAGATTTGGTCCTCCACTGACATCATGACACATGGCATATCAAAACAGCTGGACTACATCCCAGCATCATCTAGGCGACAACTTGCCTTAGCCAAAATGGGGCCCCAGCTGGTGACCTGCCTCTACTGCCGACCTGACGACCTACTTCTGTTGCCGACCTAGCGACCTGCCTCTGCCGCCAACCTGGCGACCTGCCTCTACCGCCGACCTAGCGACCTAGCGATCTGCCTTTGTCGCCAACCT